CGGCGGAGAATATATTCTTAATAGACGAATGGAGGAGAGAATAATTAAGATTCACGACATGTTCGGATTATTATTCGGCGGCTGTCCTTAGGATTCATCTGTTTTGTGACCATCTTCACGGTTTTACTATGTAGGGTTTATTGTTTGGGTTGTATGTTTTGGGGTTCAGGATTCATGGTTTAGGTTTCAGCCTATATGGTGTACTTGTGATGCTTCTGCCTCTTGGGGTATTGGAACACTCTATCGTCCATCCCTATGTTTAATTCTTCATGGCTACGGCGTCTTTTTTGTCCTTCTCGGTTATCTTCTTTCTATTAGCGCTTAGGATCCTGTTCTGTATTTCGGCGTTTCCCGTTTTAGATTTCATGATTGCCCCTTTATCCTTATGGTATACCGCCAAGTGGATACCTTCAGGATTTATCTGTTCCTGATGAATTATATGGTTTCCCTGACACGCCCCAGGTGTACCATGCAGAGTCTATGAGTACTGTTTTTTGCTCAGGTATATGTGGTATGGCTCACGCTTTAAGGTGTCGTGCTGCATTTTATCGTATCATTCCTCAGGGTTCGTTCCTGAAGGCTGTCTCCTTATGCATCACGTATACTCCCTACAGCTTTTAATTTGTGACTTCATTGTCAACTGGTTATTCTTTAGTTTTTATGGTTTGTATTTCTGTTCTATTACTTAGTCTTGAACGTCGTGTCCGTATGGGTTAGGATCTCTTGTGTAGGCCTTACTGCTAGGGGGTTATCCTCCCTGTTTTTCGTCCTGTCATCACTCCTTAAAGTGTATTCTTTACGGTTCACCATTTAATGCAGTCTGTTGTGGTGTTATATTCTGGACCTTGCGCCGCCTTTCATGGCTATCATCGGCCACTGCGTGTGTTCAAGTGGTGTCATTCCCCCTCTGAGTTACCTTATGATGATCCTGTCTCTGTGGTAATCGTGTCCCTACTGGCTCTTTCTAGGGTGTTTCTTCTTATTTGTTGTTTATGCTCTCTTCTTATGTGTTTGGGAAGATAGAATAAGACATATATCTGTAGATTCTTTATTATTCTGCCCATATTCAATATATCCTAAGTGTCTTAATATAAAAATACCAAACAGTCAATGTTCAGACTCTGTCCGTTCTTGCATTGAGATATATACAGAGGGACAAACGTCTTACTGATCTAGTGTTATTTACTTGGCTGTTTTATCCTTATCCTTTTCCCATAGGATATATCTGTTAAATCGGCGAGTTATACATGCGGCGATGACGCTCCTAATTATAAAGCACATACTCATCTATATTAATGTTAATCCATACTGTTGTAAGATCTGTTGCTCAGGAGTTGTCCCTCATATTAGAATGTGTATTTTCCTCTTTCTCTATGTCACTAGTGAACTTTTCTTAGTGATATGGTTACTATCTGATGGGTACACAAGAATTTTGTGGTTTCAGGATTCTTTGAATGTTTTTATTGAAATGTGGCAACACATGTTGAATGACTTGTATTTATCACTTGACTCCCTGCTTCTACAAGGAACTTGTACATATGACTCTGGAGTACAGGCGATTATAGGAGAGTACTGCATAACTGTTGGATCCACTCTTAGAGGAGATATGCTGTTGGTTATGAATTCCACTGGTGTTGTGGAAGCCTTTTGTGCTCATAGAAAATATATGTATATGTGACGTCTATTAAATTATTCCTTGTATTTATCTGAGGATAATAAAAGTCGCAGTGACAGATATCATGCTTATTATGGCTTTTGGTATACGACTGTGATATATTCATACTATGACTGCTGGTATTGTATCTTTTATCATGAAAAACAGAGTTTATCACTGTTATATCAGCACTGTGAAATACGAAGGAAGGAATGGTGATAAATAGTATAGACCTCTTTACTGTTGTTTTACAGACAGAGCTATGAACCCGTGTCAGAATGGGAGAGGATTAATACTTCGATGCTAATTTATCTGCTCTTTCATGTGCACAGATCTAAATAGCGGTCATTAGTTGGTGGCATTCCCATAGATCAGACGAAATTGAGAGATTTTTTACTTATACTTACAATATAGGCCGATTATAATTTTATGGCGCTGAATCCATCGTTTATATGGGAATTGTTAGATTACCTTTCTGTATTAATGTTGTGTGCAGTCTCAATAAACATGCTTTTTCTATAAAATTATATTTATGACTATTATATATTATAGTGTGTACCCGCATTGTGGAGAGACTATTCGGATGATTCTTTAGGTGTCCAATCGCAAAGCCATCAGTAACTTATTGCTACTACTTGGAAGAAGAAAGCAGATAATTAGTTCCGATATGGCTTTTAGCAATGTTTATTATTAAGCTGGAAGAAACTGTCTCCCCAATCTGTGATAAGAATATTTTAAATGTTTCTTATTGCTTGTCAATTTGTGATATTCACTTCGTATATCTATTTGTATGCGCATGGAGGAAGGCTTCTATGAAAATTAGAATGAAATCTAGAGGAAGAATGCACCCCCCTTAAGGGAAGAAATAGGCGCTTCTCCTGTTCAGACAAGAATATGAGAGACGATCATTCCGTTGAAACAATCTTCTGGTGTATGCTCTGTTTACAAAAATGGACTCACTACAATGATAGTATATAAGCAGACATAGTCCTATTTTGCATAATTTCTCCTGCACCTGTTAATTATTTTGTTTTTAAACTATTATCCGTAACATTATATGATGGTAACTGTTGTTTATGTATGAAGAATAGTGGCATTTGGCTTAAATGTGATTATTAGGAATTAGGGAGGATATGCTAAGCGTTTATTAATATATTTTATCTGAGCGCGTTAATGTAATTATTAATGGAAGTATCTATATTTATTTATAAGGGATGTTTATGAATCAGTTCAATCATGCACTGTTGTACAGACATTTTATTATGCATAAGAAGAGTCTTCATTCTTTCCACTAAATATCTTCTAGAGAAGTATTAGCCTTCTTATCTAAACAAGGAACTGACTAAGACAATATGCATACTTTACGGAGCCGTTATTGTTCCTTAATGTAAAAGAGGATTCTCAAATGATGAGTAATGCCGTTGGCATAGGTATACAGTAAAGTGCGAAATCCTGATAGTGACTCAAAGATAGGTTTTACTCTAAGAAGGGGATCATATTAAAGAGGATATTCATAATGTTCTATTATGATACAAGAAATAAACACTGTATAGATATACATTTGATTTAGAGAGGGAATACCATAAGTATTAATGGACCCCATTATGGACCTTCATGTCTGTACTTAGTAATTGTAATATGTAATAATACAATTTTAAATTTTATGCGTCAGTATCACTGTTTCTATAGTTATATTGGAATCTCATTCTATCTTTTGTATTATGTATATCGAAGCATGAAGAACGTTTTGGGGACATATGTGAGGATTAAGGAGGGAATTAGGCATTAAGGAAGACAAGATAAAGAATCTTTACTTTTTAATTTTGAGCGGGATATATGCTCAGATTGACAAATCATTCGACAGGCTTTGGGAATTTCCCTCTAGCTTACGCTATAAGGAGTCTATTCAGATATGTTCTATATTAATTGGACCAGAGGCGGAGACAGAATAGCCTGTGGACATGTAGCTCATGTTTCTCTGCAATGGTATAGGAATGTTCTTCCTAGAATAGATGCAGTGTCATTTCAAAGGAATAGTCACACATGTATAGTCCAGTTATATGATGTTATACAATAGATTCCGGTTCATCGACTGCATTGTAATTAGAATTAGTTATAATATGGTGTCCCTTTTTGAAGAGTTCAGGACTAGATGTGTGTAATTTGAAAAAGTAAAAAAATGCTCATAAGTGTTCTCAAATGGAGCGTCCCTATCCGTAGCGTTAACTGTGGTTGCACCCGAACTTAGGAAAGTATAGAATAATAGGAAAATGAGGAAGAATCCAATGGCTTCTTAAAGTGATGCTTACATGTAAATTTTGGTAGAAGTTAATGAAATTCATAATGAGCCTTCTAATGGGAAGAGGATATTTATAACAGAAAATAATAATCTTCAATTATTTAGTAATTGTGTACGATAGCAAGATAGAAATGAAAGGAAAAAGAAATGCATAAGTCTGTTGAGAGTACATAAGCTGTCCCCGACCCGTATCCAAAGGCTTCAACGCGATGAGCGATAAATGTATTATAAAAACTCACTGCGAGGAACTATTTAACCTTAGGACACTTCTGTTTATTTCCTTAAATTATAAAATGTTAAAAGTGTGTACATATAGAGAAGACGTGTAAAATCTTGTACATATAGTACTGATCGTGCAAGCAGTTCAATTTCTCTGAAAAGATCGTAGGGATAGAATGAATAATGAGAAGTATATGGAAGAATAGAAGAGAACAGGTCCCTACTGCACTTCCGCCAGGGCCTGTTGTGTGCAATGTATTTACGAATACTAACATAACAGTACTGTGTAACTAAAGAAGTAACCTAAGTACTGCTCATGGAATATAATAATCCGTTTCCAACCGTGTCGCATTGTATATGCACTAGGATCATCAATGATTGAAAAACCCTCTGAAGCATTTATTATTATTTCTCATAAGTGATTTGAATGTGAACTGCTCATGAATGTTCAAAATGATTAGATAATTTTTTACCATACGTATCCCTGAAGTTGTTATATTTCAAGTACGACTTCATTAAGGAAATCTGCGGAGATTGAAACCATGGTCATATTTCAGGTATCCGCCGATTTCTAGGATAATTTTTGTCTGAATGATGATTTCATTCCAAAGATTCATAGCCGTATGAAGCGTAGAATGAACAATAAATACTATTGCATTGGTTTCCTCTGTGGAAAATTTATATTTCGAATGATTTTTTGGGAACATGTAATCTTTCTCATTGGATGTATTTGATTCATGGTAATAATTGAATAAAGATAGAAAAGCATGGAAATGGTCATTAACTGATAAAACATTCATCAGTTGTTCAAGAGGTTCATCTGAAGTCTATTCCATAATTGGTTTTGCAGATGTCATATAATATTTGTTGAGTCTATTCATTACTTCCCCGTGTAGAATGACATATCTGTGTGTGCAGTATTTGGAACGATTCGGCGTCTTGAGTAATGTTCTGATAACTGTAAAGGACATGTTATTTATATTTATGTTGGATTTACATACATTTGCTGGAATCTATTAATAAAGTTGAAAGAGCATATCTAATTTAATGAGCGAATATATTTTTCATATGCGTCGATATTAGTTATGCTGCACAATGGACATATGAAGTTTAGTACACGCGGGAAGTTCTTAAGAATACTCCTTATGCCTAAGTTCGTAGTTGTATTTTCCAATATCTGCGGACACAATAGTCCTGGGATTTGTATGCAATATAAAATAGCCTTATCTGCCGCATGCCGCGCGGCTGTAGCATATGATGTCTGGAGACTTGTAAGATAATAATTCAGTGTACCATAGGAAATGCTATCTCTTAACCGTATATAAGATGTGTCCCGTCTTATTTGTAAACTCTGTGAAGTATAATTTGTATCTTCTTTTCGGTGAGACGTTCATTTAGTCACTGTGAAGATCCACGTAGAAGATAGAAATTGGTAAAGTAGATAACGTGCAAAGCAGAGTTTGTTACGATAAGTGCTCAGTCGCCTAGCAGGACTGAAAAATGAATACATGTTTGTCGAAAATTTCGGAGAGCAATATATGAAAATTAGAATGAATCATCTGAAAAATGTGCTTATTGTGTTTCTTTGCAGTAGGACCGCTGAAATATGGAAGAATTACGCATAAATATGTGACGTGTAGATTTTTATAGGTGGTTTGGACGAGTGGAGAATTGGAGGAATTTTTAGGGTTTCTTTTTTTTTTTTCCTAATATTTTTTTTTTAAGTTCGTTTTGCCCCAATGGCAGTTTACGTTGTAGAAAAATGGAGAAAAAGGAAAAGAATTTTTTCTTTTTTTTTTTTGCTAAATCGAGGGTTATGCCACCGCGGATGTGACTGAAACTGTGGTGGTGGCTTTGCCAGTGGAGGGATTCCCGTCTCTCTTCCTCTTTTTCTGTCTATGTGCTCAGTCGGTTTGGAGGATTCCTCCGCGTTCTTTTCCCTTTCGATTAAAAACCCGGCGAACGCGTGGTGCTGATGCAGCATTGCCAAGGAACATGCGTAGGAGGCGGTGCGATGGGGTATGAAAAAAAAAAAAAATCACCAAAGCAACGCGATATATGCAGTGAACACAGTATGGATGGGAAAACGTGGGGAAACTTTTTTTTTTTCACGGCAACTCGCGAGTGAGGAGAGACGCTAGTTTGGCTTGGCATCCACGTCCACGACGGCCTCGTGTTTGTAGTTCTCGAACAGGTAGCTAATATGTTTTAGTGAGTCGTCAAAGAGCTCCTTTTCTTGTGCATTTAAGTCGAGCTCAATGATTTTCTCGATTCCCTTGCCTCCAATGACAACAGGGATGCCTGCAAAAACTCCCTTGTGGCCATACTGGCCATTCAGTGGCACCGAACATACCAACACTCTCTTCAAGTCCTTCAAGTAAGCCTCAATAATCTCCACAATGGCTAAGGAAGGCGCAAAACAAACTGATCCTTCTGGCAACAATTCGAGTAACTCCAAGCCTGTGTTTCTTGTCTTCTCCACGATTTGACTAATCTCTTTCTCCGTGATAGCTCCCTTCTTGGTGAAGTCATGCAGTGGGATTCCATTCACGCAGCAGTAGCGTGGCAGGGGCACCATTTTGTCTCCGTGGGCTCCTATGACGAATCCCTGGACGTCTCCGGGGTTTACCTGCGCGGGGGGAGGTAGTAGGGGGGGATTGTGATTCGGATGGAGTGATCAAGATGGGGTTAGGTTCAGGTTTAGGGAACAGCTTTATGGTATAGCACTAATAAGCTCCTGTGGAAGGGAGATACCCACTGGAGGGTAGCCGAAACTGCGACGGCACGTGGGGCACACCATGCAGTGCTCTCCTCCCTTCGTGTAACGTACCCTGAGCTTCTCCGCCAAGTTGTGTCTGAGCCTCGCGCTGTGCAGGACGCCGGCCATGCCACAGATCTTATGGGAGGGTATGTTGGCATGCTCCTGTAGTACTTTGGCCATGCAATCAACTGGGTTGGTGGTGACAACGACAAAGGCTTGGGGGCAGTGCTTCTTGATGGACTTGGAGACCTCCTTGAGTAGCTTAACGTTTGAAGTGTATACCTGTCTTTCTATGTCTTCTTCGTCAAACTCGGCGAACTCTCTCTCTGATACTTCTATGGTCACTACAACTACTAGGGAATCCTTAATGTCCGTAATCTCGTTCGTCCCCAGGATGTTGATTCTGGATCGGTTGAGAGGTCGCGTGTGCAGGATGTCCAGGGCTCTTCCCTTGGGCAGGTCTGCGTGGGAGGGGTGGTGCACATAACGAATGCGCATAGGGAAATGTAGACAGACGGACGCACACAACGCAAATTCATTGCCGCCTCTTACGATCGTCGCTTACCCTTCCTGAAGTCGTGCAGAACCACATCGCCTAGATTTTTTTCGCAAATCATGTGGGCCAGGGTGCAGCCGATATCTCCTGCGCCGAGGACGCTTATCTTCGGGTGCTTAACTGAGGTCATTTTGACTGGAGTTGTGTGGAGGCGAGTTTGGGTCGCTCTTCGGAACACAGTTCGATGTTTTCACTGGTGATGGCGGTGCTGCGAGGGGAGGAGGGGAACATAAGTAGCGGAGGTGAAGGTGCGTCTCTACATGCGCGGCTTTGCGGGACTTCAAAGTTGCGCCAATGTATGGGGGAAACGCACGCAGAGCACGCTTACCAGTGCTCGAATCGAAGCACAACTGAATGGATGGTAGTTCACTCGAGAAAGGTCTGTCAAAGTTGCGGGAGAAAGAAGGTTAGGAACACTGTGGGCGGAGTGTTCATGCGTGTAGGCACGTGAGTGAAGGTGTGCGGGCAAACTAAAAGAATTGCCTTATCATTCAGGGGTTGTGCTCAGTTTGGAATGATTCGTTTGAAGTGATACAATTCGCATCATTCATTTAGCGTCCTTTAATTCGCGTCGTTGGCGCATCCTTCCAGTTTACCTTTTCTTTTGCTTAAGCTTCATGGAAGAGGAATTACGAAGCGGAGAGGAGGGTTTATTATGTAGGGTCCATGGAGAAAAAAAAAAAAAATAATAAAAAAATAGAAATAAGAATAAAAATAGCAAAGGGATATAGTAATGCGCTCGAAAATGTACTTGACGTGTGCTGAAGAGAAAAGTGGAAAATTAAAATTAAGCGATCGAGCCAAACGCACAGTCGCAAATCGGTGAGGAAATTCCACCTCGTCACGGCTCGAGAGGAGAGAAACGTAGAAGAGGATGTACTTCTATATATGCACACGCACACGTACGTGGATACATTTGGCCCCTCAGGAAGGGGGTCTATAACGCAGCAGCCGTGGCAATCCGCCTAGGCGATGTCTTCTACATGGTTCTCGGCCGTGTCTAATGGCTAGTTGATGCGGAGGAAGCTTTTTTGGAGCTAACTTAGAGCATTGGGAGGGGCGAGCAAAATGACGACCACGAAAAAGAAAAAAAAGCCGCTCCCGTGTACGCACAATCCGCATAGCTACGCAAATTGCATTCACGTCGGGGTTTGTTTCCCTTTTTTTCGCTTCTTCCCTTAGAGCACTTGGCTTCGTTTGGTTTAGCTTGTTTTTTTTTTTTTCTTTTGCGCCCTCCTCTTTCTAAGTAGCCACTGTAGGGGCTACAAGACAAGGGGCGTTTTCCTGTTGGAAGACTCACCTGTGCGTGGTCATGGTTGGATAGCCCCTACACCGTGGCTGATTGACTCCGTGTTTCTCTCCTAACGCAGCTTGTTAGCCACACGGATAGAGGCGGCACGTGCAGTCCATGTCGTTCTTCCGCGATGGCGTGACGACACATTTGGCAGTTTCGTTCCGTCCGATGTTTCTTTTTTCTTTTTTTTTCCCAAATAGAGATTCATTTTTATATTCCTAGAGTTTTTTCTTTTTTTTTTGAGGATGGGCTAAGGTGGCCAAGGTGAGACGGCCTAGCTGCTCCTCCGTCTGCCGCCCTCCCCTGGGTGACTGTGTACGCCTTTGGCGTGGCCACACAGAAAAGGGACGTCCTTCTTCCCCCGGGTGCAGCTTACCGCAAAAGGTGAAGTGACAACAGAGTCAAATTTTTTCACACTTTCTCTTTTTTTTTTCTCCTTTTAACCGGAATTCGCATAACAGAGGGGTTAGAAAAAAAAAAAAAATTTTAGAGATTTCCTTCCCACTGACGGGGACACCATTCACAGTCATCGAATCATTATTACTCGCCACAGCTCGGAAACATCGAAGCTCTCGTATTCACCTCGATTGGTAAGAGCGAAGTATACAAGGGCAGAGGAAGCTACACTAGGGGACGATCGGTGCACGTATGCGCACAGCAAAACGCTGTTCTTCAATACAGCTACTTTTCTATCCACCCGCCGCATTACCACAAGGAAGGGAGACGAGCACATGACAAGCGAGGGAGTGCACCACAAGACAGAGAAGAGGGACGACGTGGAGGCTCAAGTACAGGAGGGAAAAAAGCTCGAGCAAGACGACACAGGCAGTGATGTCTATGCCATCCTGGGAGAACCGGAAAAAGAAAAAAAAACACTCAAGGGAAAAATCATCGAATTAGAGAACACAATAAACACAAAAATCGTGGAACTTCAGAACGAGGTAAATGGGTTGAAGCAGAATCAACAGACACAGGACTTAGACTTTTCGGACATCTTAAAAGAATTCAAAGATGAGATAACTCATAAGATTAATCAGGTGACCGAGGTAATCGAAAAGAAAGTGGAAGAACAGAATTTGAAACATGGCAAGCTATTTAACATCCTCGTGTCGCTGAGGAATGAAAATTCTACCATTAACAAGTCGCTTTCTTTGCTCAACGATAAGATTCATATGATTGAGGGGGAGATTGGCGAGTGACTCTGTGGGGTGGGGCACATTCCACGTGGAAGGAACCTGCATCACTGGGTAGGGATTGGTGCAACTATGAACACACACCTCTGTCTGTTTGTATGTGTGTGCTGAGCAGACACGTATGTGTATGGCGTATAGAGGGAAAGAAACCACCGTCAGCGCCCCCCCGTTGCCGCTTCTTTTTTTTTTTTAAGCCAACTATTAACGGTGTAGTCGTCTTGCCACGCTTAGAGGTATGCGAGGAAGGTAGAAACCCCCTTGTGCATACTCACCGCTCAGATGCGGAAGGATGCCTTTGTGTGCCCCCCCTTTTCGCAAACTTCCCTCGCCGCCTGGGCACATCCCCCCAAAGGAGGTAAAAAAATGACACAGACGTGGTGGTTCCCCTCGATTTTTCAAGTTAAACGCGTTTAGGACGTTCCAAAGATAGTGCTGTGGCGCGAACATCGTCGCGGTGGAGGTCCCTTCCGTTAAGCATGCCCCCGGACAAGGTTGTCTGCGTAGAGTTTTGCAGAAATGGGGAAAGGCACAAAAAATAAAGCGCCACTTAAATAATACACGTAGTCACTTACATACACGTCGAAACATGTTGTGTGCGTGCACAAGGGTGGAGACACACAAAGTCAGTACTGCCAGGTTAAAGAACAAAACAGATGTAACTCTGCCAGCATATCTGTGCGACACACCCCCAGGGATAACTCCCCCTCTGTCGCTTCTTCATCCGAAGTGAGAGGAAGTATATTGCCGTTCAACGTGCACACTCAAATGAAAATTTCTTTTTTTCTTTGTTATTGCGATTTTTTTTTTCCTTTTTTTTTTTATTTGCGGATGTGTGGTTTCCAGCTGTATGTGTTTTGCATGGCCGTCTCCCTCCTGACTGTTGAGCAATAATATGAGAGTCAATTGGCTGCTTCTTTTTCGTGCAACTTTGCGAGCACTTGAGTGGGGGGAGAAGTCGTCCATCCTTTGGCACGTAGTTCACACGTACGGGGGTGCACATGTTCGCATAGGGGTACACCCCTGTACGTCAGTACATACATGTGAGTTTTTTTTTTCTTTTTTTTTTTTGTTCTTTTTTGGCTCTTTTTTTTCTCCCACTGTTGAATAGGGACCAAACTGCGAGACTCACTCCACACCCAGTTAAGAACAAACGGCACAAACACCAAGCGGATTTCGTTGCACCCGATGAGGGATTTCCATCCCGGAAGGGGGGGGGAAAACCTACCAGTTGTGAAGTTGCCCGCCGGGTTTCCTCCTCGGTGTGCTCCCTGACGTGGAGGGGATCGCCGAGTTATCTGCCCCTTCGACTGCCCTCGCTGACCTAACCGGTGTGAGAGGTGGCCAACCGCCTCACCCCCCGAAAGGAAGCTGCCCTTCCGCAGTCGCCGCACATGAGGAGGCGTGAATGGAGTGTCGCTTCCAGTGGAGGCAGTAGCGCCAAGCTGGGTAAGGGGGGGAGCACCAGGAGGGGCTGCAGCGCATGTAGCGCGTCTAGCGCAGATGGGACAGGTGGCATAGATAGCACAGCTAGTATCCCCTCCCCAACCAACTCCATACAGACGGAGAAAAAAAAAAAAACTAACCTCAGGGGAGCTCCTTCCACGAGGAAAGCAGCCACCACGCGTGAGTTGCACATGGGGACGGCGGTGAGGACAACTCTGCGCGCAGGTGCGAAAAGGAAGCGGCGGCCACAGCTTACAAGAAAGGTGCCACCGAAAGAGGCGCAAAAAGAAGAGAACCAATTAGTACAGGTGTCACCACCAAGGCGAGCGCAGAAGGTTGCCTCCCTGGCGACCTACGCGCACAAGTATAGGCTAACCAAGACGTGCAGCCTGAAGAAGGGGTGCCAAAAGAGGAGGAATACGAGTACCCCGCGAGGTGGGAGCAACGGCAGCGAGCGACAAAATGGGCTAATGGAGGAGCAGCAGAAGTACCGCGTTCATTACAACCGCGGGGTGACGAACATAGAGGGTGGTCCCTCTGTTGGTATGTCTCATCGACAAAGCGAAGGGAAACCCTCTTGGGGGAAGATTAAACCCATGACCAAATTGAAAAAAAAAAAAAATGAACAGCTGCTCGGGGGATGGGATCAATTAAGTGATCATTTGAAGCACATGAATGGAGAAGGCGTTACGGGAGGTGCCTGCCCAGGTGATGTTTCCAATTGGGACGAACTGTATAGCTTCTTCCCGTATGTCTACAACCGTGTGGACAGTGATGGCAGCAGAGGGGAGAAGGGGACCCCCAATGGAGGGGTCACTTCCTCCCCGAGTGAATACGCAGCCGGACAGATCTTCGAAGGGGTGAAGGAGAGACGATCCATCCGTGAGGCTGACGTATGTGGAGCAGACACGTCATTTGGATCCATGGGGACGGTTCCTACGATGGGCTTTCATAAAAAGCACGTGGGGGAGGAGGACTCATCCGGGGGGGACGACTGTCACGGGGAGTATCCACCGAATGAACATCGCGTGGGAAGCAGCTCCAACGAGGAAGACATAGATGGAGAGTTCCATCAGTTAAGGGGCAGAGAGCCAAATGGGGACCTCTCCAATGACTACATAACTTACAAACAATACGTTTTGAAGAGGGACTCGAATGGAAGGAATAGGATGGAGGAGGGACGCAGCCACTGGGAAGGCAACTCAGACACGCCTCGCATTACACATCGGGGGTACTCCAGTGATGGGGAAGGGGGTAAAAGGGGAGAAGGAATTATTGAATATGTGAGTGCAGATGTGAGTGGCCACCTGCGTGATGATATGGATGGTCCCCCCTGGGTAGACGTAAACCGGGAGGGAGTGCCACCTACCCACGAGATGCAAAGCGAACCGATTCAGAGACGAGACGACAAAGAGGAAGCAGAGTCGAAACAGGACAGACACCATGTATGTGTAGTTAACAATAATCATTTCAAGAGTCCCTCCTCCGACAACGATGCGTTGGACGACGTGCACTCAAACTTCGCAGATTCCTTTACCATCAAACATTTGCCAGAGGTACCAAATGATGTGGACATGGTCTGCAGTAGCGACGATGCTTCTATCAGAGCTGATCAGCATGCGTGGCGTTCGTCATTAACTGGTGAATTAGCAATGAATGAAGGAGGTGAAGGTGCCCCCCGAGAATGCTGCAGCTCTTCGGGGGACGATGGGTCGGATGGATGCGCAGAGGGGAGAGTGGAACCAAGGGGGAAAAGCCATGTTGGACGTGTGATCGATCCAAATGAGAACGTCCTTAATGATGGCTGTTACTGTGATCAGGGTGAGCACTTTGCTAACTGTGCCCAGGAAGAAAAGAAAGAAAAAAAAAAAAAAAAAAGTGACAGTCATACGGCTGTAGTATTATCGTCGAGACGTGGCGATAGGCTCCACCTCTCCCATGGCAGAGGCGATGCTCTTTCGATGTCGTGCAACGGCGTTGCAGCGAAGTGGGGGGTTCTTGTGACGGACTCGAGTGGACACTTTGGGAAGAGCGGACCGCGGTCCCAGTCGGACAACTACTTCCGTGGCGTGACCTCGGAGGGGCGGCGTACAGGTAGTGATGGTGATAGCGATGATGATGGCCACCGTGATGACATTCTCCGTGATGCCCTCCTCGGTGACGCTACTGCATGCATGCAAGGGGAGGAGACAAAGAGAAAGGATCTCCCAAACGACTTCTCACTGCAGAGACCCCATTTCAGCGACCCCCTTTACAGCCACAACACCGACGCGTCCATAATGCACATTGACAGTTTGGAGGATACACCAGCAGCCCCATTTGAAAAAATACAAGTGCAGAAGAAGGGGGCAGAGTCTGATGACAATCCTTACATGGAAGAGATCATTCAAGGCATGTACGCAACGGAAGAGACTCGCGAGGTGGACCACTCAGATTTGAGGAGCCATTCCTGTGAAGAATCTTTCGGGGGCACACGCCCACACCCAGAGGAGATCACAACCCCATTGATGTCAATCAGAAGGGGAGATAGCCAGTGCTCAAACGAGAATAGAAGCAACCTCGTTCATCGAAACGAATCGGAGGAGAGTAACCTCATTGGGGAGGAGCTGCCAATGAGTTTTTTCCCTGGTATGTTCACCGCCCATGGGGAGGACTACACACACGACGGGGTAAACGTCCAGCTGGAAGGAAGAACCGACATCGATAACACCAAGGGGGAGGGGTACCAATTTAGGAAGAAAAACAATAACAGCAGCATAATGGACAATCGAATTTTATCCCATTCGTTTGACAACTATGATCATTTCGCCGCTAATCAGGGATGCGATGGAGAGTTAATCCAGTGGGACACTAGAAGAGGAAGCACGTACGCAGGTGCTAATTTGAATTGTGTGTGCAACTCGTTTGTGAATCCGAAAGAGGAGGAAATGCTCATTGGAGCAGACCCATGTTCCTCCCTTAGTGATGCTCACGTGAGAGGTAGTAGCGATGTAATAGGTACAGAGCCCAGTGAGGAAGTCTCCCACCATACAGCAGATAGACAGCCAAGCGAAGACAAGTTTGCCGTTGAGTTATTATACTCCTCTTCAACGTTTAGGAGTAACACCACGGAGGGGGACAACGATGAGGGAGAAGCTGACGGTGGAGCACATTATGGTGGTCGTAGCCATCCACTTGGAAAGAACGACACCATCGCAAAAACGGAGGCACATGATTACTCACCTGAACATGTCCATGCGAAGGGGAAGAAAAGAAGCAGCTCCTTCATCTCGGAACACGACATCAGAAGCAAACAAGTGGGGATGTTTTCCATTTTTAGAAGTCACAGTGCCCACCTGGTGAAGGAGCCGAGGCGAAACTGTCTCATTAAGCTCGATGAGATCACCCCCATATGCAACAACGAAATGAATAGGAAGAAGAATCGATCGGGCGGCTTGGAAACGTTTAGAGGCATCAGTTTATCTGAACAGATGGCGACAGGGAGAGAGGGAATTACAACCAAGGGGGAGCAGCATGAGAACGGCTCTATCCCTACGGGGGAAAGGATCTCCTCGTTGGGTAAGCTCCCCAAAGGATGTGTCCTCGCTGGTGTAGCTCTCACAGAGGAGACTGGCGGAAAAAAAAAAAAAAAAATT